GCAACGTCAACGCATTCCATGGCTGACGTAATACCTTTTTTTAGCGTGTTTATTATTCCCTTTAAATCCAACGCTTTGATAAAACGAAAAGAAAATATTTTTTTTTCACAAAAAAGAAAACAATATCCATAAAATTGTCCGTCTATTTATGTTTTAACAGCTTCTGCCGCGAAAACATCACACGTTGCGTGACTCAAACTTTGGCCGAGCGGAGGTCTGCGTCTGGTCACCGACAAAAAAAAAAAAAAATAATAAACCCCGGGTAAACCTAGAACCGCGCTCGGCCCATGGCCGCGCGGTTAATAATTCTTGATCCTTTCTATTATAGAATGACCCCGTATGGCTGTTTGTCCACGGGCAGCTCTGTTGGACTGATCGAGGTCGTTCATGATTCTATGACCATAGCAAAGCTACAGAGAAACAAGGGAGTCGCTGCTTTCAATTATAACTGCATTTTGGATTGGCTGAAGGAATTTCACTCCACTGAAGAAAGGTGTGTGTATTGCAGAAGTTGCAGGGAATCCAGAAATCCTGAAAATAGTTGGAAATCGTGTGATTGTTTTAATTTCCAGGCCTGGAATAAAAAGATCAGCACTGACTTCATTGTTTCTATTTTTCTTCATTAACATGCAACTTTACGCAGAGAAGTCACCTTGCTAGATACAACTTGACCCCAAGCATTTAGGAGCCTGTGAAACGTAGTAATTAGTGAAATGTTTGGCTCTTTGGGTGTAAAGGTCGGCACACACGAGGGGACTAGTAGTCCCTGCGACTAGTCCTTGCAACTAGTTCCCTGAAGAGTTTACACGAAGGGACTGGTCACAGGGACTTGTCCCACGAACAGTTCACACGAAGCGTTTTGAGGAACAAGTCGCAGGGACTTGTCCCTAAAATTCAAACTGGTTTGAATTCGTGGGGCTAGTCGTAGGAACCAAAGTTGGTCCCTGCGACTAGATATTGCAGTAAAAATGGCCAGTTCACACGATGGGCCGGGACTTGTTACCGCGACTTTTTTCAGGGACTAGTCGCTGGGTGTGCCGACCTTAATAATCGAGGAGAAATTGGCTTTCAAAATATGCAAAATTTTCGCGGGCCAAAAATACATTTTTCGTAAAATTTGATGTTTTTAAACCCTCGTCGCACAAAACGTACTGTCTACATCTACATCTTCATGTTTAAAGCAGCAAAAACTTGAGTTACCACGCCATGTATAAAATTTTAAAATATCAACGATAGACGGGCCCAAATTCCTTGAGACAGTTAATCGTGGCACGCCCTTTCCATATTCAAGACTGATATCTTTGTAGCTTGATCAAAAACTGAATCCAAGTTGAGGATTGTGACTTTAAATTGGATTAACAACAAATTTAGTGGGTGTTTCCTCTTTCCTGCTTTGTTTCTTAGTTCTTAGTTGATGTCTGCTTTGTTCGAGTTATGTAAGTTATTTTACTGCAATAATAGCATCGCTTGTCACAAAAGCGTTTGTTCCCTTTTAAAATGAGGTTAGAACAAGGGAGTGGCAAACGAGCCGTTAAGCGAGTGTGTCACTGATGTTCTTACCACATTTTGACGTCTTCTGTGATCAGTTACTGAAAAGAAGCAGGTACTTTTTGTTTGCATTAAAAAATTGTTATCTATACGTCTGTCCTGTCCTGTAAGAACCAATCAAAATGTGAGAATAATTTGACTTATTTTATTTAAAACTAATGCACGCTCAGCTCCAATAGCGGGTATACAGCAGCTATATTCTAAAATTGAATTTTTTTTTTTCATGTAGTCTGTCTGAGGCCGTGCGTCGTTTCACGCTCTCTTGTGCCGGGTACTGTGTGGCTACGTATGTTCTGGGGGTGGGTGACAGGCACAATGACAACATTATGGTGAAGAAAACAGGACAGGTAGGTTTGCGACCATACGTGTTCATAACGAAAGGTAAACTTTAACACGGAGCCAATGACGTCCCGTTTTAGTAGTACAATAAAAGCGTGGGAAAAAGTTCCCCTTGCCAAATCACGATTGGTTTTAGTTTTGACACTGGCGACTCAGACGTCGTACATGATCTACGTGACGTTAAGCTTTTGCCGATTGCGTTACGAGTTCAGCCGTTTGAGACGATGTATGAGAGTGCTTTGAAAATTGCTCTAAATACTACTGGTTCAAAATAATTGATAAAGATAGTGGTTTACTTGACATTTGTCTTGCGTTGTTTTGATGGCTCTGTTTTCCTGGAGACGGTCTCAAGCCATTTACGCGAGTTATCCTTCTAGAAATGGCTTTAAACCGTCTCCTTTTATTTTAATTATTTCCTGCACTAAGGTAAAGACTGCACACAAGCCAAGTGGCCCATCACGCCGGAGCTTATGCGGGTTTCTGTAACATGAGGCGACTAGGAGTATTTGTACTCCCCCCCTGGATGGGATACTAGTCCGTTGCAGGATTACTACATTACTTTTGCCGGTACCCAGTTATACACCTGAATGGAGAGAGGCACTGTGAGAGAATGGTGTCTTGCCTAGAACACAACACAATGTCTCCGGGCAGGGCTCGAACCCGGACCGCTCGATCCGGAGACGAGCGCACTAATCATGAGGCCACCGGTCCTCCCACAGTTCACTTAGCATTATGATAATTAACTACATAGATTTATCAATAGCTGGATGCCCTCTCTGTAATTCGTCTCCTTTTCAGATTTTCCACATCGACTTCGGTCATATCCTCGGTAACTTCAAGAGCAAGTTTGGAGTTCAGAGAGAAAGGGTACCCTTTGTACTTACCGATCATTTTGTACAGGTGATTTCCGAGGGCAAAAAGCAAGGCACGGTCGAGTTTAAGAGGTAAATCTTTGCTAGTCTCAGTAGTGATTCAATGGGTCTTCTTTAAAGGAGCTCTGTCACGTTATTTTAACCTGAAAATAATAGTCTACTGAGATAGAAAAATGCCAAAGAGATAATAATAAACCATAAAGGAACAAGGATGGCTAAAGATGGAGAAGATTAACACGGATTACAAACGACGAACTTGAAACATTTAGGCGAAATTTTTCAAGTTGCGTAAACCTTGACGTTGCTCCTTTAAACACACATATAGCAGTTTGAACGTTTTTTTTTTTTTTTTCTTTTTGATTTTCTTTTCCTGTTAGGTTTAAACAGCTCTGTGAACGAGCCTTTCTGATACTTCGCCGCAAGGGACCTCTTCTGATCAACCTGTTTGTCATGATGTTGTCCGCTGGACTCCCAGAGTTGCGGTCACTTGACGACATTGGCTACTTGCGGAAGACACTGTTGTTGTCTTCCTCTGAAGAAGACGCCATCAAGGATTTTAGGAAGAAGTTCGACCATGCCATCAACAAAAGCCTTTCAACGTCAATGAACTGGTTTGCTCACAATTTAAACCAAAAGTAACCCTTGAAGAGTATCGAAATTGCAGAAGCTCCCCTATTTTAAAGTCACATGTTCAGTGGATTGGTTTCGTACTAAAAGCCCATTTAAGGCCTGAAATGTCCCATTTGGCCAGCGGCAGGGTCAAGTAAACGCGGGAAGAGTTACAGTGACCAGGTTTTACGTTTTTCTCTTTTAAATTTGATTGGCTGGAGAGAAATAAGCTTGTTACGCTACGTATCTTTCTCTCAACTTGTCCCGCGAATGTTTGCGCTGCTGCATTACAAATTTCACAAGACATTGCCTAGTATAACCGTTTGAAATGACCTTTCGTTGCAGTAATCGCTGGAGAACTTGATTTGATTTTGTGCTACCCTTGATGCATTCAAATGTTGCGAAACATGTTCATTTACACTTACACTTTTTTTGAGCAAGCTTTGTCGCAACAAGTTAAAATTGTGAGACAAGTTGACAGAAAAATTGCCCAATGTAACAAAAGTACTTTACGCGAGTAAGAGTAACTTGACAAGTTTTTTACGGGGCTGTGTACAGGAAAACAAGTTCTTGTTGACAGTAGTTGTAAGTCTTTTTGCTGGTGTGAGGCAAAAGTTAAATATCATGTCCTTGACTAGTCTTGTTAAGATAAATTGAAAACAGGTAAATTTGTCAATCAAGACACCAAATTTGCAACTAAGCATTCTAGCCAAATGAGTACTGTTTTGTTGTACACACGTACAATATACCGTAAACTGCCGCTTAGAAGCCCCTCCGGTTATAAGCCCATCTACCTGTAAACGAAAAACGTACATCTGGTTGTAAGCCCCCACCCCCACCCCCCGGATTTAAGCCCCCACTAGTTTTCCTTGTTTTGAATTCATTTTATTATGATGTTTTATATTGATGTTTGAAAGCTTAATTTCCAGTAAATGGAAAATCTATTTCGATCAACCTGTGCAGCTATAGTTCGTATCGAAACGGGTTTTTTAAATTCCGGTTATAAGCCCCCTCGGATATAGGCCCCTCCATTTATAAGCCCATCTAAAAACTCTCACGAATTTGTTTAAACCCGGGCATTATAAGCGGCAGTTTATGGTACAATTCTCAGAATAAAAGGTGTGAATTTGCGTTCAATGCAGCTAAAAGTTGCATGCGGAGTTATTTTTTTTAATCGAACACAAATACATAATTATGTTCTTGAGGTAGCTTTGCTGCAATCGTTTCTAAAAAAATGGACTTCAATCTGTTTTGTGCAATGCTTGTTGCAACGAAAGTGTTACTGGACATATCCACTGCTTGCGTTTTTATACTGGGCAATCTGTTCTTACAATCTGTGAGTAGCAACAAAATTGCGGGAGAAGGTCCTTAGTGTAATAGCGCCTGCAGGGAATTTTCCCTCAATTTTGGTGTAACTATAAAATAGTATGAAAATTTATCATCATTTATTAGAATAGATATTAGATATTGTTAGATATTTATTAGTCTTATTTAGTATACTTTTTTAGTAATTCGAGGTTAGTTGGAAATATTAAAATAAAATTTATATTTCGAAGGCAGAGTAAAGATGGAGAAATAATGACATTGAAGTATAAACTTAGCAATGAAGTATAAATTATTGTGTGTTGGGCTAACCCGCGTAGCGTAGGATTTCGCGCGTGACTGGTTTGCTTCGCCCACGCCCTTTTCCCTTTCGGAAACGGTCGTTGCCATTTTTGCGACATTTAGAAATTTTGCCAACTATTAATGAGTTTTTTTCTACCAAATTAGAGAAAAAGAAAAGTTATAAGTCACGACCCGGTATCGAACCCAGAACCTTTCGCATGCTAACTATACACCACGAGGTTGATCCGGCATCGACCATTTACGAAAGGGAAATCAGCTCCGCCGGCGGAGACGCGGACTGGTAGGGCTCACTCACGGTTCTTTCGTCAGAGGCTCCACCGTTAAAACAAAGCACTCACGGGCAAAATCTAGGCTAATGTTAGGGCGTGCTCGTACCTTGTACGATGCGGGCAATCTAGTGTGAACGCAAACTTGCATTACTTTAGAGGACTTTCTAAATTTTTATACCTAAATAAACGTGAAAGACCAGTGCCAAAAATGCGGAAATTGCCATTTTTTCGAAGGTAGCTGTTGTCCTCGACCATAAGATACGGGTGATAATATTAAAAGATGCATATATTTTTTAACATTTCCTCCGTGAGAAGAAGGATTCCGAGACCGGGCGATTTTGCCTGTTTATGGCAATAAACAGTTGTCCTTCGGTAAAAAAAATGCACTAAATTTTTCAGCTTGTTTATTTTAGACATAGACTGTACTTGTCTGGACGTTATAATAAAGAACAGCTCCGTTCCTGAGAGAACGGCACTATTACCTCAGAGTTTGTCACGCGTTCAGAGTAAAGATTGCGTGACGGGCCCACAGAGGTCAGCGACAAGCTCGTGCAACCTCACCAGAAAAAACCATTGGTAAAGCATCGAGGGGCATAATATTTGCCCTTTTAATAAAGATTTTTCCACGCGGAAACAATACATTTGTATTTGCTCATGATTCCAATTTTTTGGTATCTATACCCTTGGGAAATCTTTGAAAATTCCGTCCGGGTTTAGGCCCAAAATAAGATGTAGCTTGAATTTAGAATTGTAACATTAAGTATTTCAGAAAGACCTCGTTTTCTTGCTGCGAGACAGCAATAATTTTAAATTTTTAATAAATTGTTTCTCACAATAAAAATGTACCACGTGTTATGAGCCTCCACGTGTTGTTCGCAGATTTCTTGTTCTTTGTTCTAGAGGGGGGCTCTAATAATCCCGATAGATTTATTTGACAGCTGTTTAATAATAATCTTCAATCCTTATTGGTCACGACCGTGAAATTCACGATTAACTATTGGTGGATTAAAAATAATCCATTATCAAATTTCAGTAGGGTAGCGCCATGTTGGATGTTTATAAATTGTATATTGTCTCCAAAATGATTGCAGATGAATAATTTCGAGGTTTTCTGGGCGGAATTTTTCTCGGGAAAGATTGATAATGGAAGGTGAGGAGGCTTCTATTCATTTTAACTGTTTCGTTCACTATCCGAACTTCACTGAAGAAGGTCTCGAGGTGGAAAGCGTGGCGAGGGGAAATGGTATTCAACTTCACCCAAGCACCCAACTGTCAAGCCTCGCTGCGAGCGTGTTGAGCGAAATGTTTCAGAAGCAAGAAATCGATGGAAAAGTTATCATGAAAGCAGACAATGCGAAAGGTCAGTGGAGATGGTTTTTTCTTCATAAGAGCTCAAGCTTTTACATGGTCTTACCTTTTAATAGATTCTTGGACTTTGTATTCGTATTCGCTTTTAACCTATTGTTGTCAATTCATATCGCTAGCTCGCAATGTCAAACTGAAACAAGGTTGTGATTTTGGGCGTGTAGTTTAAACCCGGAGTTTGAGCTAAGCTTAATATATTTTCCTTGAACTAAGTAACAATCTGAAAAAAGTTCAAAGCTCCGAAATGGAGTTAACATTTTTTTTTTCAATCCTGCAGATGAAGGATCGCTTTCTTGCGCTGTCTCTCTTTGTGAACTTCTTATTAAAACAACTATAAACTGATTTGTTCGAGATTAACTTTGAAGAAAATTATTAGCTTGGGCTGCAATTCTGGTGGACACGATTGAATTACTACCCCAAGGAGAAGGCAGGGAAGGCCGGGGGAGGTGGGTGGTAGAGGAGGGAGGGGGGTGGGGGTTGAACGCATGATACTTATTGAGAAGTTTCAGTTCAAACTCTATAGTTTGATGTTCATAAACAAATTCCAAATTGTTTGGAATGAGCCGCATCAGGATCAATAATCCAACAGCACTCAGTTTGTGGTGCATCAAAGGAACTGATGAATCCTTACCCAGAGTGGATTCATCCTGATCCGATCACCTAGTTTCTTGTTCCTCTGGTCCAGTCCCGTAAAAATTAGTAAGAGTCTTGTAAACAGAATTAATTGGCCTTATGGTTAGTAGTGCTGAGTAGTTAGTGTCTTTGAGCAAATCAAAGCAGTCAACAAGCACTATCCAGGGTGCTCTCTCATGTTCTTGGACAAAGACACTTAACCAGCACAGTATAGTCTCCTTACTTCTGTGCAAGCTGTCAAAACACTAGGCTTTCCTGCAATGATCCATTACCTCATTCAAGGGAGTATATACATTGTACTATACAAGTGAATATAATGTGAAAGTTCATATATGTGAACTGCAGAGAATGATATGAAGATGTGATTGATCATTGCAGTTATGCACAGAACTTAAGCAGTTGTGAAATTAAAGCTTGAAAAAAACTCAGGCCTGAACGGGAATATAATCACTTGTATTCTTCACGTTCTACGGATATATTTCAAACTCACAACGTGGTCAGCTCCCAGTTGGCCTAATAGCTCAGTTGGTAAAGCACTGCACGGGTATCACAGAGGTCATGGAACCCATTCAGGCCTGAATTTTTTCAGGCTTCAATTTCACAACTGCTTAAGTTGTGTGCATAACTGCGATGATCAATCATATCTTCATACACTGTACTCTTATCTAGTTGATTCAATTACTATCAAAATGGACCGAGTAAAGGACCTGCTTGATGACACATTTTCTTTAAAGACTTGTATAATGTACTGGGGCCCGTTTCTCTAAAGCCCCAAAAACTTTTTGGGCCGGTAAAGCCATTTTCAGTTCATCTGTATCTAAAAACGGAGATGTGTATACACCTGAAACTTCTTTATGAAGGAAACCTCTGTTCATATTAAGAATGTGTGAATAAAACAGCCCTGTAATAGCAAGGTTTGAGATTTTGCTATGGCTTTACGGGCCCGAAAAGTTTTTGGAGCTTTCGAGAAACGGGTCCCTGGGCACAGTCTAAGCTATAAAAATTTTGACTTAGGAATAAACACCAGCCTGCTTCCTGAGGTTAATGTTCAGTTAAAATGATGTATAAGAGAAGACAACACTACCACCTGTTTTGGAGCACACAATCATAAAGCTGGTTAACCATCATGGAAGTTTATAACTGAATATAAAATCTGAAATAAGTACCTCAGGTATTTGCTGGAGCAAATATAACATAAGAAGTAGTTATATATATACATACATGGTATATCTTCAAGCACCTCTTTCTTTTGATGTGAATAAATGATCTATTCTTACTTGAAGCCACCTAACTGATTTTTTTTTTTATATGCTAGTTTTCATTCAAGTTCGCGATCATTGGAAGCCACACCCACTTGCTGATTTCACTTCTGGTGGTGACTTGGAAGCAACTTTACATGAAGCATTTGGTGAGATTCTGTGGACCAAAGATGCGGCAATCAGCATTCATGTTCATCTGTGTTATGAGTAAGTTATTAGCATAATGAAATACGTTTTAACTTACTGATTGGCATTGCTGCTTCAAAGTATTTTGAATTAGGCTCTGCCATATCTTTTATGTCATTAACATTGACATTGCAACATTACTCTTACCTTCACTCATAAATGGGGATGAATGGTGGCTTTGAAAAATTCAGTAGGAATTGTCTACACTACAGTCTAATTCTCCTAGTCTTCTTCATCGATCAGGGCTAAAAAAAAGCCCTGTCTAGTCGTGCAGGACAAGTAGATTTTTCTGGCAGGCAAGTAACTTTTCATTCTTACTTGCCTGATGGGCAAGGGCTTAGGCAAGGTGTCTTGCAACTAAATAAAAAGAGAACAAACTAAGACTTGACCAGGGCAAGCAAAATTTGAGAGCTGCTTATCTGAAGGTTGCAAGCTGGAGTTCAATTTTTTTGTTTTTTGTTTTGAGCCCTGATTGATCAGGACTTAGATGTTGGTCTACACACAAGTTTACAAGAATTATTTGTTTCCTGATAGAAAATTATTTCCCATGGTGAAAAGAGAAAAAAATATCTGAATGGCACATTAAAGCAAATCAATAGCTGTATCTAGGAATGATGACCCCAGCTTGTAAATGTAAATTTTCTTTTTAATATTATTGTTTTTTGTTGACATGTTAAATTTTGTTAAATCACAGTAAAGACTGGGACGATCAGAAGGTCAAGACAGCCATTAAAAAGCTTCTAGAATATTACAGTCAAACTCACTTAGAACGCATGTTGTGCCCCTTCTCACAGGTAATTAATACACATTTACTATTAAATACAAATTTTAACTATCTATGTAGCATTTTAAAGCTTAATATTTAGCATTAACCTTTCTTGTCAAATTGGAAAGTGGATCACTATTGCATGGTAGACTAAATGAGGTCAGTAGCTAGGTAACTGGGTAGGCGGGTAGGCAGGTACATGTAGGTAGGCAGGTACTGTAGGTACAATAGGTTACGTCTGCAGCCCATCAGGGCTATTTTTGCCAGTTACCCGTTTATACACCTGGGTGGGCTCAGAGGTACTGTAAGAGTAGACTGTCCTGTCCAAGAACACAGAACAATGACACCAGTAGGGCTTGAACACAAACTGCTCAATCTTGAGTCCAGTGTACTAACCATTTAATGGTCACCCTGCCTCCTTTGATCTAAATACATGTTTTTATGTTTTGTCTATATAGCACGTTTTGTCAGTCGAAAAAAAAAAATCTTACCTCAAATGCTACAGAGAACATTGTCAGTGGTGATGGGCGGGAAAAAAGGAACCGTCCACTTCTATGATAAATACATTTCTCTCATTTTAACAACAAAATTATTTAAATAATATCATTTATTTTCAGGGCATGCTGTCACAAATATCAAGAGATCAATACCCCTGCCGTCTGTCATCTGAAAAAATTAAGCTTTTTGCAGCATGGTATGAACATTCCCAGTTGAACAAAGAGCAAGAGGAAGATGGATCAGTCTCATCTCCTGGAAAGAAAATGCTTATCACTCTTCGTGGCAAGAAAATTGTCTTCAATTCTTCGATTGAAATTCCGTTACTCAGAAAGTGGTATGAGGAGAACCCCAAACCAGATCTAAAGGATTTGACGAGATATGCCGAAATCCTTAATAATCTGGAGCAGCGAAAAACAAAAGAACAGGTGCTAGCGCGGCATGTGAACACGTGGTTTAAGAATGAAAGAGCTCGCTTAAGAAGGGAAGGGCTGTTGGAGGACTTGTCCAGGCCTTCCATGGCAGTGGTGTCGACAAGCTCATAGTTAGCTCTCCTGAAGGCCATTAGTGTAACCAGTATCACATGAACTGAGGGCGATGTAAATGCTAGCTAGCCCTTATATGAGTAGCATATGGAAATAACAGCCACCTTTCGCCTCAAACTTGATTAGTGTTCATTTTGAAACTAACTTCATTTTTTTTTCTGAAATCTTAAAGCTGAACCTAGAATCTTCTACTACAGTGAAAAACCGCACTGATTAGTTTATTTTGGCACAAGTCACTCGATGAATGCTGCTCGAATGTACATTGGCTGATAGCATTAGCAGACAAGGTTTCTTCAGTGTTATTCTCTGAATCATATGAAAAGCTTGTCGCTAGAGTTTCCGCTATATCTTTCCATCTTGCATCGGCAAAAAAGTGACTGCAGAAGTGCTTTCATTTGCAACAAATGCACATTTACGCTATGTTTGCTATGTGCATATTGAACAGTATATTAATGTAAATAATATTTAAAGGGAAATCATTAATATATTTATACTGCATTATTTTATACTGCAGTTATACGGCAAACAGTTGTCTTAGTTTTGTGATTAGTGTAACACTATAACGAAATTCTCGATCGTGGTTGGTTCTCCGCGCGCCTATTTTCCACGTAATCGGCGCGGTTACGTGGGTGTCCAATTACAGGTATTCAATTTGAACTTTTTGTAATTGGACACCTGTAAATGGATACCCACGTGATTCGCACGTCAATCTGCGCGCGCTTTAATGGCTTTCTTTGCGATGTTTCTTTCAGTTTTCAAAACTTATAAAACGTGCTACATACGTTTTCTCCCAAAAGAAGTTCTCAAGAGACAATTTTATTTCCGAAATTTGTTATAGATACAATTAATTAGTAATTGGACCTCGTGTCGTACAACTGAGGGAGTAATCGTGCTTGTCATTTCAAATCGGCCTTGCGCTTCGCGCTCGTCCGATTTTGAAATTACTCGCGCGATTACTCCCTCAATTGTACTCAACTCGGTCCAATTACTATTACAAACCTTAGAGGGGAAAATTTTGTCCCTGAAACAGGTTGAACGAGTTATTTTATCATACTAACCACTTGCCCTTGAACAATTGCCAGATCCTTGCGAGTCCTTGAAAAAAAAATGTAGGTGTCCCCCGTGTATGGAGTTCCATCCCCGCCAAAAATCAAAGCTGATCACAACATTCAACTTGACAGTCTAACGATTAACTTGGCAAACATCAACATCATATTTCACTCTTCAACTTTGTACTTTGTATCACAATCATTGAAACTTTAAACATCAACTTTCAAAGTGACAGTT